AGCCTTAGTTGTAGTAGTTGTAGTAGTAGTAGTAGTAGTAGCAGCAGCATCATCATCAGTAGTAGTAGCAGTAGTAACAGTAGCAGCAGCAGTAGTATAGCATTAGTTGTAGTAGCAGCAGGAACTGCTGCAGTAATAACAGCATTGACTGGAGTCTATACGGATAATGACACACAGTGGAACCTCGCTCAAAGAGCATAATTTGTTCCAGAACCATACTCGTTATGCAAAACAATTTTTCTCACATAAAAAATGTAAAAATCAATAATGCGTTCCATGTTGAAAAAAAAATACTCATAAAATGCTATATATAATGTTTATTCAAAGAAAATTATATACATATTGGTAAGGAGAGTGAATCATGTTCCCCCTTTCTACAAAGGCAGAACGAACCCATCTGGAATTACTCATTATGAGAGGTGCTCGTTAAGCGAGGTTCTACTGTACTTAAAATTTGTGGAGGAACGATTACCAGCTTGGTCCTAACCCTAGCTATTCCATTTTTGCTTTGCTGAATAATGATCTGGTTGCATCCTAATGATTTTCTGCAGATGTGAAATTTCACTACTGATCATAGACCTTTCTCCTATAATTCTAAACAAAGAAATCTTCTATATATTCCGTATGTAAAACACAGATTAGGAGACAGCAACAATTTTGATAAAAGTTTGTTATTGAGTATAACAACCAACCAACCAGACAATAGGAAAATGGTGCTTACTATTATTAACTTTCTAAATGAGATCAGCTGTAACTTCAATTTTTCTGTACTTTTACAGTAAAGATTTCTCACATATAAACTTACCGTTGAATGTCCAAGGTGTACCACTCTTCTGTAACTGAAAGTTTGTCTAGTAGTATACTTTTTAGGTCATTATTTTCCTTATCGTAAGCTGTCACTGTTATCTTTCCCCTGTCTATGCCAACTCCATATGATGCCTGTAGAAAGTGTTAATAAAAATACATTCGTAAAGGATATCATATATGCCATTACACATTTCTTATTTGTGAGGTAACCTTACATTTTGACAAACAAATAAAAAAATTAACGTATAATTTCTGAATGACATTCAACTCCACCAAGATCGCACAGCAAGCGATAAACACCCAGTGACACAAAATGCCACCATTCGGATCAGAATCACCTGGCTGCAAGTCCTAGAAACTCCGTTCACTTGAAAATAAGAAAAAATGGTGTCACATATCGGGGCGGATAATGTAGACATCTCTTGTAACAATTCTGTCTGAAACTTATGATGTGGTTTTATTTTCCTCTGCCTGAAACAAAAATGATTATTTGATTTTGCTTTGAAAGTTAATAATAATCATCATTTCCATATAGCTAGGATAGTTACCTTTCATACAATTTTTATTGTTTCGTATGTTGTGCTTAGGGAGTCGCCGTGGCCCAGTGGCTAGACGCTCGTCATGGATCGGAAGGTTGTGGGTTCACTCCCTAAAGAAGCCAGACTTTTTTCAAAAATGACATTGGCTCCCAGGTCGACCCAGCCTTGAGTGGGTACCAGGTGCAGTCCCGGGAAGTAAAGGTGGCCGGCGTGATACTGACCACATCAACCATTCTGTGCCAATTGGTCTATAAAAATATAGGTCTAGCCCTATATGCCATGTACGCCTAATGGCGTGGAAAGGGTCCTTTACTTTTTATTTTACTTATGTTTTGCTTAAGATACAGAAAATATTAGACATAGACTTACTGAATTATTTCCCCTGACAAACAAAAGAGGGCCATTGACAGTTTTTGCTTTGACACAAGCCTTGATGGATGAGCTCAAAGAAGCAGTCACTTCTGGATGGGCTTGGGGTATGGACACAGAGATGTAGCCATTACCTGACTTTGAAACAGACATCTATAATTGGAGAGAGACATAAAAGATGTTATATTTTAAAACAATACATTTTGTATGAATTTGTACATATTTTACATTATGCTTTTGGTCAAACATCAAGATAGATCATCTATTTTTTGCTGATAATTTCAAAAATATCTCTGTTTAAGCAAGTTCATAAAGAGGAAGTAAAATAAATTGACATTAAACATGTGTGTGTGTGTGTTTGTGAGTGTATGTGTATGAGTGTGTGTGTGTGTGTGTGTGTTGTGTACACACATTCACTGTGCTCCTTAAATATAAATTATTGTTCTTGCTTTCAGTTACATAAGATAAAACGTTCCTTTAACCCTGACATAAAAAATGCTTTAAAAAATAAGATCATGACCACATGGGAAAAGCTGAACAAAATTATTTTAAAAATATATAATATTTTACACAGCTCACAAATATATATTTAAAACATTTATTTATCTGCCTTTTCTTTTCTTTATATATGTGTGTATATATGTATGTATATATATATATATATATATATATATATATATATATATATATATATATATATATATATATATATAAAACAAGGAAATAATCATTACACATGACAACAGAGTGAAGAATTCAATGGAATACTTTCCTTTGGGCTTAAATATCAATATGTATGTATTGGGTTACTCATGCAGTGACCCCATGACCTCTATCACTGAGGTTTGAGGTCAACTTGGCTTTTCAAAACCTATCTGGTTCACAGGAAAGAACCTTCTAAACATGTGTGCAGACGCAAACTCAGCCAATAGCATTAACTATGTGTCTCTTAAACATAACACCTGAGAAAAGTCAGGAAAGTGACATGGGGAGCGGGGGGGGGGGGGGGGGGGGGGGGGGGGGGGGGGGATGGGGGGGGGGGGGACTAAACATAGCTAGCAGGGTTGGTTTTGAGGCTTCTCAGGACACCAAAGTTAAACTGAATTCCTGTTGCACAGTATAATACAAACATATCTAATGCATTTTTTTTTCAAAAGCTGTAAATGTACAACTTAAAAAAACAAAACAAAAAACAGAAATACATAACCTACGCAGTATGAACTACTCAAGAAATGAATAACTTCTCACAAACATATACAAATTACAGTATGGAAGAAGAAATACCCCCAAGTTAAAAGAAAGATAAAAATTTCAATGTTGTATGGTGAAAATGGTAAAACAGATTTTATTGATCGAACACTTAGAGTGTTATAGGACCCATATTACAAGGTCAAACCATCTGATTTGTTTTCCACATATAAAGTTTATTTATGTTTATATAACATTATATATTATGAATGTCAAGTTTAAAAATAAAAAACAAACACATCAAAGCATGGATGGTGAATGCTTGCATTTTAAAAAAAATACTTGCGTATAACACATAAATTCACGCATTCATGTATAAACACGAACACGCACGCACGCATGCACACACACACACACAAACAGAGAGAAGTTCTCAACTAGTGTAGCAACGTGCTAAGGTATATGTCTAATTAGAATACAGCATACCTGCAATGTATTTATAATCTCTCTTGCTTTTTCCACCTTCCTTCGCAGCAACGACATATTACTTTTAATGTAAGTGAAGCAACTATGAATCTTCCCGCAGCTTTCAACTGCCATCGATCGTAGCAAGTTTATGTCAGCATAGCTGGATGCAATCTTCAGACCTAAATAATCATTTGTGCAAATGCTGACTTGTGGTTCTTACAGTTTTTTTTTTTTTTTTATGGAAGTGACTGAAAGATGTGAAAGTGTGTGAAACTGACTGAAAGATGTGAATGTGTATGAAACAAACTGAAAGATGTTGTGAAGGTGTATGAAACTGACTAAAAGGTGTTGTGAAGGTGTAGGAAATTGACTGAAAGATGTTGTAAAGGTGTATGAAATGAATTGAAAGATCTTATGAAGGTGTATGAAACTGACTGAAAGGTGTTGTGAACATGTGTGAATTTGAATGAAAATGTTGTGATGGTGTATGAAATGGAATGAAAGATGTTGCGAAAATGTATTAAACTGACTGAAAGATGAGAGGGTGTACAAAATTTACTTAAAAGATGTTGTGAAGGTGAATGAAATTGAATGCAAGATGTTGTTAAGATGTTGAAAAGCCTCTGCTTCTTCTATTCTCTACTCCTAGAATGCCTCAAGGTGTCAGGGCAGGTAGAGATATCTGGAACAGGCCATTCTGTTCACTTCAGATAAAATTCTTTTCTGTGTCTCAGATATTTCTATGGTTCATATTCTGCGTGGTCGACCTCTGGCTCTGTTACAGCTATATCTGTATAACATTGCTCACTGTGGTGCCCTTCTGATGCCAATCTTGTTACATGGCCAAACCCTTTGATCTGTTTTCTACCTACCAAAGTTTAGTATTGGTTCTGTACTGATTCTCCTCCTGATATCATCATTTTTAAGTTGATCTTTCCTTGTTATACCTAGCATAGTATGTAAACATTTCTTTTCTGTCATGAATATTTTCTTTTTGTCTTCTGAAGACAAGTGTTCATGTCTGACATTGATAGCAAAGCATTGGTAAATTGTGTTGAACAGTGTTCTTGTAGTGTTCAAATTCACGTACCTGCATTTCATAACTGGTGCCATTTTGCCTAAATCTTGATTAACTTTATTTCATCTTTGCTGGATTTCTTTATTAATTCTTCCATCTTCTGAAAAATGCTCCCCAGTTATGTAAAATCCTTCACTTGCTTCAACTGGTTTTCACCAATTTTAATATTGGTGGTTCTTCCTTTTCTGGAGAATGTCATCACTTTTGTTTTGTCTATGTTGATCTTCATATCATGGTTGTCACATTCTGAGTGAAGTTTGCGAATATGTCAAGAGCTATTTTTACACCAGGGGCATATCAGACATATGAAGCCAGACCCATATTTTTTAATGTACACATTTCTAAAGTAACAGAAAGTTACTATCACAGGGAAACAGAAGATTATTATCACAGGGAAACAGAAGATTATTATCACAGGGAAACAGAAGATTATTATCACAGGGAAACAGAAGGTTACTATCACAAGGAAACAAACCCAACCAGAAATGTCAGTTTCATGACTTCTTGGGATGATAGGATTAAATACAAAAATCTACCTAAAGTTTCATTACCTTGCTTGAATAATCCTGAATAATCAAAGTCATCTTCCATGTTGCTGGTTTCAGCTGTTTTGTCCACATTGGTTTTCTTTCTATCAGAAGGAGTTGCCTCAACTGGTAGTTTTCCGTCTGCCAGTGAAGAACCTCCAGACCTTTCAACAGCTTGCTTTGCCTTGTTTACAGCATCTTCTAAGTTTAGGTTTCTTAAAGCTGCAATTTTCTGTAAAATCTAGATATCGGAGGAAGATTTACTTTTTTGTATTGTCTATATCATGCAGACATTGTATGATAGATTTTCTTTACTTTTTTTATAATCATAGTATTTTAGATTTTCTCTTTCTTTAGTGAAAATTACTGTAAACATTTGATAGTGTCTTTTTAAAACAAGTAAATCTCTAACTATAATGTAAACTAGAAACGTAATTTCTGCCATCTTAATTTTAGTTTCTATAAATTGTATATCTGTATCTGAGATGTTCATACTATGTTAATAACATCTTTTAACATTGATTACCAAAAGTCATGTGTCTGCAAATTTACATTATCATCATATAACAGGTTCTTTACAGAACAAAGCTCCCATCACAGCTCACCTGAAAGAAACCTGGTCCCTTCCCAGCACTCCCGTTTCATGCAATTTTCTGCCCAAGATGTCACTTATGTCCTGTGCCCATCTTTACCTTGGTCAGCCCCTGTCCCTCTTATCCATCACCATACCCTCTGCTACTGTTCTTTCCAATCCGCTGGGGCAATTGATATGGCTAAAGTATTTCAGTTTCCAAGACATGCTGTTTACAAGCCAATTTTTCTTGAATATCCTATTTTCCTCCTTAATGATTGTGAGATTATCTGTGATTCACCTCCGTATATTGCTACAGAAAAAATGCATGCTCTCAAAATTCTGACTTTCCTTTGACTAGCTTGCTGGAGCTTAGCAAAAGATTTGTAATGCTATTCAGCACAAATCAACAATTTAAACATCTTAAAGTGCTGGGGACACGAATCAAAAACATCAGAAAGAGGCAATAAATTTGTTTTGCCACACATATCAGGAAAGAAAAACTAGAATATGACACTGAAACAACAATAAAGATGAATTCTTTCAGGACAACATATTTTCTAGGGTTTTGGACAGAATTAACTTTGAGCTGAACCAGTTTACAGATAGATCTGCCTTATTTGTATGCAGACTGTTGGTTCCTCACTTCTCAGGCAGATGCACCCTGACCATAAAGAAAACACCCCTAATTAGTACAGCTTTAAAACATGTTTGTTAGGGGGCAGTGAGTCTATTGGTGCCCCCCTTCCCCAAAAATTGGCTTTGAAACACACATGGGGTATTTAAACTAAATTGAGAAACAAAAGCAATAACACAATTAGATTATTTTCTGGATTACCTCTGGTATCTTTTGTTTCACTTTTTGTACATGCCCTTCATTATCATAAATATCAATGATAATATTTGTCTGTGTGTCTGTAGTTCTCTCAATAGATGAAATAGATGACTCTATGGTGCTTAATTGTTGCTCGAGACCTGCAGAGAGTATAGTTCCAGAATTAGAAACAGAATTGGACGCTGAAAGTTATTATTATTATGTCCAATGTTTTGAAAGAGGCAATCCCCAGATGAGTTCCAGGGCCCTAGTTTTTGAAAGAAAGAAAAAAAAGAATGCATCCACTGCCCCATAACAAGCAAGTATATAAAGTGACTATTTAGGGAGTTGCTGAAATAGGATATGAAGGGCCAAAAGGTGTGGATATCACAGCCTAACTGTAAACCACAGCACAAGTTTCCACCCGCCATTTTCAGGACATACAGAAGAAGAAGAAGTAGAAGAAGAAGAAGAAGAAGAAGAAGAAGGAGGAGGAGGAGGAAGAGGAGAAGAAAAAGACAGAGGCAAAAAAACAAACTATAACAAGTTATCACAAACAGCGGAAAAAACAGGCATAACTATTTGCCCACATTATAATTAGAGAAAAACTAGTACATGTGCAACTAGAAAGATTTATGGAAAGAGAGAAAAGAAATGGAAAGAAAACAACAAGAGAAAAATGCTTTTCAAGTCCACCGTCATGGTATAGAAAAGTGCCTGCATACAAGCTGATACACACGGCTGGAAATGGCAAACTGGGCAACAGTATGAATGCATACACCTGTTAGTAAGGTACTTGATGATGATTATCTCCTAGGAATTTTACAAAGTTCACAACTAAACAAACATTTTGTTATATTTATGCTAATTTCCCAATCATAATTTCTTAATTATATCTAAGATATATTTTTCTTTGTCAGCATAACTTCTTTACCTCCTCCTCTAATTTTCTTCTCCTCTGTTCTGCCCTCCTCCTTATTCTCCACCCTTCTCCTCCTCTTCTGCTTCTCCACACATGTGTGTGTGCGCGCACGCGCATGCACACGCACACACACACACACACACACACAAAGAGAGAGAGAGAGAGAGAGAGAGAGAGAGAGAGAGAGAGAGAGAGAGAGAGAGAGAGAGAGAGAGAGAGAGAGAGAGAGAATCATTATTTGTTTATAAAAGAATATGACTGCTACATTACACCTAACATACCTTCAAGAGGTCCTTGCAAAGTCTGAGTAGTATCAGAAATCTGGCGACTTCTACGTACAAGTTTGGATGTGAAGTCAACAAGATCAACACGCAACTGTTGTAATGAATATTTTGCAGGTCTTGTCTTTTCAGCAGGTTCATCAATAAATGTAAAATCTTCATTCTCTGTGGCAAACTCTTTCTCGCTGCCTAAGCTGTTCAAGCCACTGCCGTTTTCTTCACACATATCTTCATCATCAGTGTCAATTATTCCAGATCCTTCTATCTCTGACGAACATTTTTTGATCCATGTTAGTTTTATTTTACTTCCAATGTGAATCCGAAGCTCATCCAAGGAAGTCCACATATCCTATGATGAAAAAAGTAAACAAACTAAAAGTTTCATGTTGAAAAAAGAAATTCAAATTGCTCACTTAACATTTGACTAAGAGTATGTCATATTGAGACAAGGTTTGTCCATTTGATGAAAATCTCCTGGTACCAACTGCCACAGAGAGCCATTCCAAAGAAATATAGGGAACACAGAGCAAAGGGAAGACCATGCTGCGAGGGAGTGATGACAGAATGAAACACCTTGAAGAAATGAAGTGCATTAGAAAGAGCACACAAATTATCCTTACACTCCTCTTCCCCTCCCTCGTGCACTTCATTAACATAACTGGAGGAAAAAAAGAAGGGCCAAGCTGCATATGGTATTCATCTGCTGACCTTGAAGTCAGGACAAACTGACTTCAAGATAAGAAATGTATTCCTTCTGTGGCCAACCTCCGATTATAAACTTAGCATAAGAACACTTTTGGGGAGTCTTCGTAGCTAGCATGATACTAAATGTATCATCCCTTCAATGGCACATGTTGAAACAACATGCATCTCGAACCATATCTACAATATGCTGCGACATAGAAGGAAAGTATAGTTTATTTCTAATTCTTTCTACCCACAATGCAGATTCTCCAGGCTGCAACATTCAGGAGCAATTATACATGAACTCTTTCAGTATTACCATGTAATTAATTTAACCCCTTCCTTATTGCGACTTTCTAATTTCAGTTCCAAAGAAGTTAAAATAATAACACGATTGGATAGAAGGAATTGACAAAACTTCAGATTTTATATAGCCAATGTAACAAACTGTCTGCCATATAAGAGAGCCTGAAAATATACTATCTTTGAAATACCAAATGTATGTATAGTCATTGGCATGGTAAAGAAAGAGTTAATAAATAAAGTCGTAAAATATTTGAAACTGCAGTATTAACAATTACCAAGAATTCCAAAAGATTCAAAAATCTAAATTCAGTGTTAATAAAATGTGTGCTAACCAGAGACTAATAATAATACTTGTACATCCATGCAATGTTCTGTAAAGGATGATAAATCAAATTTTTCTTTTTTTTAGTGCCTCCTGGATGGATTTGTTAAAATCCATCTATAATAATCTTTGAATATTCCTCAACAACTTCATGTTGCTATCAAGACTGTGTCATCAGCATAACGTAAATTGTTTACATTGTACCCACCAACTACAATTCCGGGCATTTCAATTAAAGATCTCATTATATATTCACTGTATATTGAAAACAAATCAGGTGATAGTACACATCCTTGTCGTACGCCCCTCTTTATGCTTTTAAATGTAAATAAACAGTTGTTAATTCTTATAGCTGCTGTTTGCTGCCAATACATATTCTTTATTATTCGTAGATCTTTTCCATTAATGTTAAATTTTTCTAACAGTTTGATTACTTCCTTATGCTTCAGACAGTCAAATCTGTATATATAACAGCATATTCCAGTGATGTGTGTTCCTCAGCCAATGCTTTCACTTCTGCATGAACTATCGGTAACCTCAAATCAAAGCATTATCTTTTTGGGGTGTTAACTACCATAAAGTACAGTTTGTATTAATTTGGTATCAGTATCCATTCCTCGCCAGGTTTTATGTCTTGAAAGTACTGTAGCACTTATGAATGCTCTAATCAACAATATGAACAATCACACACAAGATATTGATTCATACACACAAAGAATAACCGCTCCGACATAAAACACTGCTTGGGACAAACAGAACCGACATTTATCAAACAACATTATATTTCTACCAACCTTCAGTAAGAGTGACAAGTTTGTGGTTACAAGTTCAAACTCAAACTGGACTGCAGTCTTGCCTTTCTGTTTGATAACTGCCTTAGCTGCATTTAAGGAGCTCTCTAGAATGCTGAAACAAGAAGTGAGAACAAAAAATTAGCACAATGAGGGCCACAGTTTCAGATTGGTAAGATATACATAAAAAAGGGGTACCCAAAAACAGCATGGAGACGAATGATGGAAAGTGACCTGAGTGCGGCATCTCTGACATGGAAAACTGCACTGAAGATTGCACATGACAGGAAAGCATGGAAAGTGTTCTCTGAAGCCTCATGTGCCAACATGAGTACAGAGTATGAGAAGAATGTTGAGGTCATGAAGGTGTTATGTTATGTCATCTTGATTTACCTCGCTACCCACTGGATATTTCCATTCCTGCTGGATGCAACAGCTGTCCCAAAGTATCTCTGCTGACCATTCCCATACAAAGATGGTCATTATGTCATCTATCTAGACCTCAAAGATGACACAGACGTGTTTCGCCAGATTTTACTCTCATTCCAGTCCGTGTTGTCTTAATGCTATGGCCCGCTGGGTACAGGAGGCCCTATGCTAATCTGTGTATGTCAAGTGACTTGCCATCAATACAGACTTAATTCCCCTGAGTGGTTGTTGTAAGTGCCACAACATACTGATCAGCAAATCTGTGTATGTCAAGTGACTTGCCATCAATACAGATTTAATTCCCCTGAGTGGTTGTTGTAAGTGCCACAACATACTGATCAGCCAATCTGTGTATGTCAAGTGACTTGCCATCAATACAGATTTAATTCCCCTGAGTGGTTGTTGTAAGTGCCACAACATACTGATCAGCCAATCTGTGTATATCAAGTGACTTGCCATCAATACAGATATAATTCCCCTGAGTGATTGTTGTAAGTGACACAACATACTGATCAGCTTATCTGTGTATGTCAAGTGACTTGCCATCAATACAGACTTAATTCCTGTGAGTATTTGTTGTAAGTGCCACAACATACTGATCAGCTAATCTGTGTATGTCAAGTGACTTGCCATCAATACAGACATAATTCCCCTGAGTGGTTGTTGTAAGTGCCACAACACACTGGTCAGCCCAGGGGCCCAAAATGCTGTTAAGATGGCTCTAGGTCGCGTAGTTAGTGAGTGTCAAAGACTCCTCATTATCCACTAGTCTAGTCCACATGGTCTTGATAATAACAGCTCTGTACATGCCTCTTTCTGCCTGCATTAGAGTCTTACTTGCCAGCTGGTCCACTCATTTTTAAATTTGTACACAAGCATGAAGATGTTGCGCTTGGTGTCAATCATCATCTTCTTCTTCAGCATTCCGAGCCCTTGAGGTTATTGGTCATCTGACATTCTTTCAATATGCCCCAGCCATTTCAGTCTATTAGCTCTCATGATGCCAGTGATCAGTGGTGAATATCATGACTGTATGAAAAAAACATTTTAACAAATGAATTATCTGCAAATAATATTTGATGTAGTATATCTAAATTACAAAAGACTGAACACAGCAAGAATTATTTTTTTAAAATAATAATGAATATTTAGAATGCCACACTGCTACAGCAGACAAGCTGAAGGAAAATGGCAACATGAATTAGAAAACAGAATATTGCAGACATCAATAGCTACCTGTGCAATCTGCTGTACTGCCTGTTCAGTTCATGAACATGTTCTGTAGCTTGAGATACTAACTGTTGTAGCTTCCCAAAATGGTATGAACTCAAACCTTGTCTTGGCTTTCTATGTCCATGATGTTTGCTTTGTTCTGTATGCAGCCAGTTCTTGAACGTGTCATTATTTTCCTATTTAGATTAAAACA